GGAATGGCTTATGATAAATTCCCACTTTAATCCATTCTCACTACCATACTCTTTCAATCCCTCTTCGATATCTCTCTTTTGGCATTCATCAACAATGACTTTACCACCGGCTGTGAACGTGGTAGCATTATCTGATACTATTACTTCCAGAACACCTCTTCGTGCGACAAATCTACGGAAGGCCTTTATGAAATCTATAGCGGTTAAACTTTCCACAACGTCTAGGTGGACAGCTCTCGTAACCAAACAAGTCCAGAGACATCCCCAAACTTTAGTTGTCGTTCCCTGTTTCTTTACCATTATTGGCCCAAAATAATCCAATCCACACTTTTGGAAAGGGAAGGCTCGAGTCGTTCTATATAAAGGAAGCGGTGGTGGAGGAGGCAACACGAATGAACCGCCCTCGTACCGCTTACAACGTCCGCATTTTCGTAAGACTTTCTTGACGACTGCTCTTCCTTTTGCAATCCAATATTTAGTTCGAGTATCATAAAGGGTGTGCTGAAGACCTTGATGGAAATTCTTTCTATGGATGTCTTCAATTATGAGTTCAGTGACCCGATGCTTACTCGGGAGTAACCAAGGCATCTTAGTTTGCGGGGAGAGATCTTCATTTTTAATACGTCCTTTACATACCAGTAATTCGTCTTTTATTGCTACCCCCAATTGTTTTTTGAGGGGATGAGGTTTATTTTTTAGTAAAGCTTTCCAAACGTCTGCGAAAACTTGGTGTTGAGTAAGTTCGATGATCTTACGTTCAGCCCTGTCTAATTCTTTCATGGTCAGCCATTCACCAGTTTTCTCCTTGGTACTAATTTGTTTCTTCCACCTAAGTAAATATGCCACTACGCCTTTTAACTTTCTCCAGGTATTAACTCTTTCGGCTGTCTTTATTAGCCACTCATTTTCGTCTATACGTTTTGTATTAGTCAAATCCTTTCCTTCGATTACATTTCCTACGATTTCATGCGTTGTCTCATCATCTTCATCATCTCCCTCTTCTAAATACTCATAATTCCGTGGCCACTCATTTTCACTTTTACTCAACCAGTCAGGTCCGTGCCACCAACTATCTTGTGTCCTTAAAATCCTAGGACTTGTTCCTCTAGAAGCTATGTCGGCTGGATTTTGGTCTCCTTTTACGTGTCTATAAGTCACATCTTTATATTTTCTGATTTCTGCTACTCTATTTGCAATGAAAACCGGAAGTGCTCGATTAGTGAAAATCCAGCCCAATGCGCATTTAGAGTCTGACCACAGGAATTTCTTAATACTACCTAACTGTAATTGCTCTTCAACATACTTCAAAGCTCGCACTCCTATTACACACGCCATTAATTCCAGCCTAGGGATAGAAATGTCTTTTAGAGGTTTTAGTCTTGTTTTTGAAAAAACTAACATAGTTCCATAGTTAGTGTCGGCAACGCTCCTTAAATAAATCACTGCAGCAAAAGCATCTTTAGAAGCGTCTACAAACGCATGTAATTCTGTTTTCTCATAATTAACATTGACTTTCCGCGGTACCTCAAGCGTAGGGAAATCGTTCCACTCATTTATAATCCCCTTCCAACACACTTCTCGCTCCTGTTCGAGTATTTCATCCCATTCATACTTATGCTTCCATAGATCTTGAAAGAATAATTTTGCCTTCAGAAGTACTGGGGAGATTAATCCCAAGGGATCGAAATTGGCTGATAATTGCGATAACACCTCTCTTTTTGTTAATGGTCCCTTCAATTTGTTAGTTACCAGTTCTACAGACAAAACATCTCTCCTTCGATCCCAAGTAATTCCTAGAACTTTCGTTACTTCAACTTTCGACTTATCGGTTCCACTGAAATGCTCTTCAACTTCTGGTTGATTACTAGACCACTCTCTCAAATTCATAGAGGCCTTACTCAGTATTAATTTTGCTACCTTATACATTCTCACAGCTTGTTCCTGATCTTCCGTACCCAACATGACGTTATCTACATATGTATTTCTTCTCAACTGGGCCACTATTTCTTTCACTTCTTCATCATTCGTCCAACCGTTGTCTTTTACAGCCTTATCCAGATGGTATCTTAATGTTGCACCCAATAGAAACGGACTCGATATGACTCCAAATGCTACTCTCGTAAATCGATATGTTTCCAAATTGGTGTCAGTCACACCCTTCTCCGGCTGTTTCAACCACAAGAATCGAGTCACATCTCTCTGACTAGGCTCCAACTCTAACTGTAAGAACGCTTTCTCTATGTCTGCTAACATAACAATTGATGGAATTCTAAATCTCAATAATATACCACACAGATCTGGAAGAAGCACTGGTCCTGAATATAAACACTCGTTCAGACTCTTATCACCTTTCCTTGCTTTAGCTGAAGCATCGAAGACAATTCTAAGTTTGGTGGTAGCTTTTCCTGGAGTGATAACCGGTTGGTGAGGGAAGTAATGAATAGGGCCGGATATTAATGCCCCTTTTCGGACTTTCTCAATTATGCCTAGACGTTCTTGTTCTCGTAAATTGTCTTCATACATCCTCATAAGAGTTGGATCAGACTTCAGTCTTCCCATTAACGATTTCAAACGACCTAAGCTCAGTCCGTAATTGGTGTTTGCTGGAGGATTCCCTGATTTCCAGGGCCAACTTACTTGATACCTTCCGTTTACGAACCTTACCGTACGATCAAACAATTCTAGAGCCCTATCGTTATCCTCATCTACCGGTGCATCATTGATTCCTAGACTCTCAAGCTGCCAAAACCTTTCGATTTCATTCCATTCTACCGTGGGGTTCCTTTCGGCATTCGTGAAGACGTCCCAACCACTTGTAAGCTTACCACCAATCATAGGGCCTACTTTAGTCCAAATTTGGTATAAATTATCATCCAATCTCTCCACTGGTACCTCCATGGTTAATTCCCAATAGAGATCCGCTCCAATCAATAGTTCTGGGGTGACAATAATTTCTTCCCCATCTTCGACAGTTTCCTGCCCAACCTTGCTAGGACGGCAAACGATATCTTTGGTTATTTGTGGGACTGCACTGACTTCTATGATTTGAGTATCTCCTGTTGTAAGAACTAACCCCACGTGAACTATTCTCGATTCGACTCCCCTCATTTCTTTTGATGCGAAAGTGTTCACCCATAATACTCCAGTACTCTTACTTGTCAACTTTAATTGGTCAGCCATATGATATGTGATGAATGACCGTTGTGATCCGCTATCGAATAGGGCATAAGCCACTTTAATTTCCGGGTTAGCTTCATCGGGGTTAAATAATTTCACCTGAACGGTTGGTAAGTATACCTTCCTATGCACCGTCGTCATCTCTGACTCAGATGTAACGTTCCCGTTCATATACGTCATAAGATTTTGTTCTGGAATGACTTCTCTTTCATGAGGTCTCACCACGTTGTTGTTATAAGACGTATTTCTCGCGTCAGTAGATGTTTCTATGTTACGTACTACTCCCTGTTCAACTCTCATAGCTCTCTGGTCTTGTTGTTCGTTTCTTACATTATCTTCCCGTCTTACTACATTAGTGTCTCTCGGTAGTACCGCATTATTGTTTCTTAGTCTTACCACGCTGTTGTCTCTCATTCTTACTACATGACTGTCTCTTGTTCTCACCACACTGTTGTCTCTCGTCATTCGTCTTGGCATTCTCTCCCTTTCTTGTTCTCTCGTTAAGCACAAGGCACTATTGTGTACGCTATTACAGAAGGAACACCGTCTTTGGCTAGTACATTCATGACTCCTATGACCTTTTCCAAAACATCTGTAGCATCGGCCTTGTCTCTGAATAATATCTCTTCTGTCATTTACTCTGCGCACTATTGTACATTCTCTTGCCGCATGTCCTATTCTTTCGCAAAAGATACACTCTCTTTGTTCATCATGACTTCTCACTGGTTCTTTCACTACTACGTGTGTTCTAACGATCCTCTCCTCTTCTGTATATCCAGTCACTCTCTCTCTTAAATTCACGTATCTTTTCAAGTTTTTACTTATTTTCTCTAGATTATACTCATCGTCTTCTTCAGCTCCAAGTACTTGAGAGATTACTTTGGATGGCAGCTTTTGGATAACACACATGGCTAGAGAAGGATTTTCTAATGGCTCTCCGATGGATTTGAATTGTCTACATGCCTTTGAGAGTGTATCATCGAAATGTTTGAGTTCGTTTAATCTTTCCGAACACTTCGGTAGGGCCTGTAACATATGGTGGACACGTTTCCGAATGACTCTCGAGTTTCCAAAATTTTCTACTAGTATCCTTTTAGCTTCGACATAATTCTCAGCCGTAATGGGCAGGCTTTCTAACACGGTTTTTGCGTTCCCTCCTAAGCAATTTTTTAGATGCATAAACTTGACCACGGCTGGTATATTTTGTTTATCTATGAAGGATTCGAATATTTCCCAAAATCCTTGCCACTCTAGAGGATCTCCTCTAAATTCTGGGAGTTTCGTTTGGGGTAACTCACTTTTATAAGGCTTCTCATCATTCTCTTCTTTTATGGCGGAATTTCCAAAGGTTACTTTTGCTCTCTGTAACTCTTCCATCCTACACTTTAGATTCTGAATTGCATCTTTTGCGTCAGCCACTATCTCCAAAAACCCACTTTCTTCCTCGCATGCCGCTTCATACTCTTTTCGCTCTTCCTCACGATTTCTCTTGCTTACTACGTTGACCCATTTTTCTTGTGACTCAGTAATAGTATCTACATACCCCTCTAAGAATCGAATATCTCTCTTCACCATACACCAACATTTTTCTATTTCTTCCTCATTATTAACTTCAATCTCATATTTTGGCAGATCACTTAGATATTGTTTCAACTTTCTAACTGCGATCTCAAGACTTTTCTTTACTGCGACAAGCGACATTGTATCTAAATTTTGCCCTTTCGTTCCCGGCTCGTGGCACCATGTACCGACTATCAGTGCAATAAGGAGTAGGGGGAGACTCTGACTGATAGAGGGTGGACTGAATCTCTAAAGGTGGAACTGTTCCCCCTAGTTGATAATTGACAGAATGAACGATAAAGAAATGAATAAACAAAACAATGTACTGAAAAAAAAGAAGAACAGCAGAATTGATAATATAGACAAGACAAGGAAAAATAAATGTGTAAATCGAACGTGTCTGGAGCGTCGAGAATTCCACTGTGACGGATAGGATCGGATGAATCCTCCTGAACCAAAACGGATCTGATGCGTTGGGACTCGAACAAGTATGGAATTGATCGAACACTTTATTTCACAATATCGAATGTCCACAATTCCGTAGCAACGACAGCAACAATATGATACCAATTGTTAACGTGAGGATGACCGTACAATTCCAAGACTGTGACCACAACGTCAATAACTTCGAACCACGAACAATAGACTGCGGCAGTTCAACAACTTGGATCCACAAATAATATACTGCGGCAGTTCAACA